CAGCACACACAGAGTTGCAGGTGAGAGATGCGAAAAGAGAAGAAACGAAAATGGAGGGGGAGAGTATATCATATATAATCGCACCGCCAAGGGGAATACCATCTTGGGGAGTGACATTGGCGCCCATCTGGAGCCTCAGGGAGACGGTGCCGGAGTTGGTAGGGTCCCAGGTGACCGTGGTCGGCTTGCCAGCGACGAATTGGTAGCCGTCACTAGGGACGTTGAAAGGATTACCATTGCTCTGGGCGGCCACAACGGCAGCAAAGGCGGTGACTGCGAGGTAGATGATGGATCGCATGGTGACTGACTGACGGAAGTTGGTGGGGATTCGAAAGAGTTGACCCGATAGGAGGATAGTATAGTACGTACCGAATCCGTAAAAGAAATAAATAATAAATAGGGTTGTAAAAAAATTATATATATATATAAAATAAATAAATAAAAAAGGAGATAGATTACACGAATCTAAGACCTTTTGTGTTTAAAGAGTGTCAAGAAAAGTTAAGGGCTGGTGGTGAAGCGATCGCCGTGGGGGAGGAGGAGGAGGAGGAGGAGGAAAGAAAGGGAGAGGAGGAGAGAGAAAGGAGGAGAGAGAACAGAGAAGGGGGGGAGAGAAACAAGAAAAAAGAGAACAAAAAAGAGAGAGAGAAGAGAGACGACAAATGAGAGAAAAAGGAGAGAGACTTGACTGACAAACAAGGGGGGGGGAGGAAGGAGGCGAAGAAGGAACAGGACGAGAAGGCAAGTGTTGACAGGCGCTTTCTTCGCCCAAAGTTGCAGATAGCGTGCTTGCAGTTTAAATGCCCTTCCCCCTTCCTTCCCCTCCCCCCCCTTCCCCCCACCCTAATAACAACCAATGAGTGTTATGTTATGCTATCCTGCGACTGGTTTAAACTGCCCCCAACCAGTCATTTTACTCTCTGAGCTTGTGTCTAAAGCTAGGCTCGATGAGTGTTAGCGTGGTCTTGGGGCTTGCGGTTGGTTCCAACGATGCGACCTTGGCTGACAGCATTGGCGAATCAGGAGAGAGCATTCAATGCTGTCCGCAGCGTGGAATCTTGGGTCTTCTGGATCCATTTGATTGATTCCTGGGACAAAATGATGATGATGATGATTGATTATCATTAACTTTAATAATAATTGCAACCTAACCTGATCAAACTCAACTGATCACGAATCTCGGAATGGATCTCGGTTCATTGGATCATGGAACATGGATCATGGATCAATAGATCAATGGATCAGCAGTGTCAGCAGTTGTCAGAGTTGCCAGAACCATTGTTTTCACGGGGCGGTTCTTGCACCCGATTCCAGTAAACCTGATATAGCAAATGGTGGTTGTGCCTTCAATCAAGGCTGATCGTCGCTACACAAGCTTCGACCGATTTGCCCTGGCTTTCTTTCGCTTCAGATCCCCAGTACGGAGTCTATATATATATAATAGCGTACAGAAAGTACCCCCCCTCGTGGGATATCCAGTAGTTACTTGGATTATTAATAATCTATTATTTATTATTTCTCAATGTTCAGTTGATCGCTCGTCGAAGTCTGAATGGTTTATGTAAATCTCGGGTGGCTAACTACGCTACCCAGCAGGAGTAACTAGTTCTGTTACCCCCTCTCGGCCCATCCCGGGTCGACTTCAACCTTAAATTGGGTTTCGTGGATTCTGGGCGGCGAAATTTTTTTTTTTTTTTTTTTTTTTTTTTTTTTTTTTTTTTTTATATATATAACTATATATTTTTTTTTTTTTGGTTGCACGAAAGACATGGAAAAAGGGGTAACTTAATTGGAGAGTTTGATAAAAAAAAATCAAGGTAACTTTTTTTTTTCTTCCCTGCATCTTTCTAGAGCTATTTATTGGAATGTATAATATAAAATCCCGAGGAAGCAAGGGGGAGAAATCTGGCCATATCTTGTAAGAGCCGTTTGACTGCTGCACGGTGGTATGGTATTGGGGGGGTTAAGTTAATAATTGTGTGGCAGGCGCATGAAGATCATGAAGCAACAATGGAAGGGTTGCATGTGGCATATGATATGGATGGTTTAACCTTGGAGAGGAGACCAAGCCAGTCGAGTCTTTCAGGATACTAACGGAAACTTTGGCAGGTGAAAGAAGTAACTACGTACGTAGTAGGACGTCGTAGAAGCAAGTGTGGTGTGGCATCGTATCGTATCTAGACTTCAAACGGATGGATGAACAGAACAATCGGCGGGGGAAAGGAACAGAGCCCAGCAGGAGGAGACTGGAGACGGACTTGCATTCATTCATCAACAAGCATTCGCTTTTTGTCCGGGAAGAGGAAAAATAAAATAAAAATTGTAGCCTCGATAGAGACGACTATATATACGTAGTATGTATATATATATGTATGAACAAAGGCGCTCCCTCAACCGGGTATTTCCCTATCAGATTCCATCTTTGCGGACGGTTGATTCCGCTTGTGGCGGGGGAACATCTTCCTTCCATAGGATGTCAGGTCACGTGATCTGACTTACTAATCCCTCCACCATATAACTTTCCACAAAGCTAGCAACCTTTCAATCACACAAGCTTTACACCTTCCACAGGTTATGAGACCCGTTTTGCGCAAAATCGCTGCCAATTCGGGATTCCTTGTCAATATAATCTATTTGAACTACTGCTTCATTCGATACGCCCATCAGGAGTTAAAATCATCTTATTCTATCAGTATTGATGCGTTTGAGATCTTGATGATCAATAATACTACTGCTCGCTTAAAAAAAAGAGGCTTACAGAAAACGCACCACATTTGCAAAAAAGCAAGAAAAAGAGAATGATATTGGCAAGGATTCAATAAACGAATATCAAGATGGCGGATTCAATACGATCTCGCCCACACACACGTTCGCGATCTCGTGTCCTTTCCACTGGGTCAGTTGCAGTTGATGATGATGATTCTTCACACTCATGCTCTGCCAGTGGACATCCTCCTGGAGCCTTTGAAAGCTCCATTGTCGAAACACTCTCTCGATTCGAAGCTGGTTTGAATACAGCTCCTGACACGGTCAGGCCGGCCCCCTGATCTACTTGACAGCTTGATGAAGCTGGTTCTCTTGATGAGAATATTGGACACTCAGGTGTCTACCGTTCGGGCGAGGCAATATCAGACCAACAGATGGAACATCTCAAGATGATACTTGAGATGGACAAGGGGAAGCAAAGAGTCCTAGAACTCGAACTACAACTGGAAAAACTCCGTCAACAGAGATCCTCTACGGATCGACCACAGGATGTCAACAATCATCCTGCCACCACATCAACAGCCCGTACAGCCACATGGAATCCTAATCTCGGTGAAAGGTTGGAATTCAACCTTTATGAACTGAATAGCCGTGTTGGCAAGGCAATCTCCCAATTCAAGGAAGATGTCAAGAATACTGTGAGACCAAACAGTCTAACTGGTACATTCAATTACACCACATGGAGCATCTTCATGAAATTGAAACTGATTGATGTACAGTGTTGGTATATGATAGAGAAATGACAGACCCAGAACCCTCTACAAAGAGATGATGAATGGGCACCATTCTGGGACGCCAGAAACTGGTGGCTCTACACATTCATCTCGAACTCCTTGGGTGCAGGTGTCAGACCATGTTTCTCCAAGTATGATAAAAATCGGATTGCTTATACTCTATGAAATGTGATTGAACAGGAATACTCTGTCCCCAAAACACAGTTACATCATGAGGCAGTTCTGGAATTCATGTCTCTTGATGACATACAGGTCACCAATCTACACACATTCTTTGATAAGTTCCAGTCCGCCATCACGAAATTGGAGATGTTGGATGCTTCCCCCTCAGATGCGTGGATATTTGATACCTTCTACTCAGTTCTACTCAACAATTGGAGGAATTACATTCAGAAGAAGATAGAGGAGATACAGGATTTCAAATCCACAGCTGTGGTATTGAATGTTGATCTTCTCATGGAGGAAATCCGTTCGCGGCTTGATCCTCCAAAAGATAAAAAGAATCTGCAGAATATAGATTCTGCGGCCAACTCTGCTACAACAGCTACAACAGCTACAACAGCTACAACAGCTACAACAGCTACAACAGATACAACGACCACTACACCTACCAATTCTAACAACAATACATTGAATTCGGCCCGTGGAGGCCGTACTGGACGTGGTCGTGGTAGTACTCAAGGGGGCTTCCGAAACCATCAGGGATTGGGAAATCCACCTACATGTTCTGATTGTGAGAGATCTCACTTTGGCAACTGTTGATTGACCAATTCAGACAGTGCTTCAGATAATTGGAGGATCTACAACGCTGTGAGGATAAAGGAATTCAAAGAAAAGAAGGAAAAGAACAATAGTGAGGGTGGGACTCAACTATTCATTACAGATGGTTCAGAGACCTTTCAGATGGCAAACCTCGCGGAGGTTATCAATGTGCCAGCCTGTTTTGTGAAACTCCACAAGGATCCCTTCAACGGGCGTTTATACATATCAAAAGATGTCATCTTCAAGAAGGACCTCCATCTTGCCGATCCATCGATACCGACAACGCACAACCCGAAGGTTCTACCCAATGCGGCCTGTAAAGCGGCTGCGGTGATTCCTTCGGCGACACCAGGCCTACCCACTGCGGCCCGTCAAGAGACTGCAGCGATTCCTGATTCATCAATTGATAATCTATTCATTGATGAGGAAATTCGACCTGAGTGTCCATTATTTCTCATACTCACTAATAATTGGTGGATTGACTATGATATCTCCGCGAGAATACCTACCCTTTTAGTGCAGAATACACTGAACTCCCCGGAACCCACAGTTGAATCTGATGACCCTCTGACATCTACAAGAGATATCACTATAGTGGGGGAATCAACAGTGAGGGAATCTTCAGTGAGGGACAGTCTTGAAGACCTACTCACTGATCCCGAGATCACTGCACTTTCAATCCTGAAAAACCTCACGCGCGTCAAAGCTTCCATGGAATGGAAGTATTATTACAAGGCCTGTGTTAAAGAGATCAACCGTTTGAAATATATGTGTTGGAAAGAGAATATAAAGAAGATAGGGGGATAGAGGGATAAAAAATGATGTATATCATGACTGGTTTTTCATTACTTCACATTTTCCAGTCATTTTTTGTACCTGTACTTGATTTGAAGGCGAATTTTGTATATAGCATCGTGTATAGTTACTCTGATGAGTGGGGGTGTCAGGTCACATGATCTGGCTTACTAATCCCTTCATCATATAACTTTTCACAAAGCTAGCAACCTTTCAATCACACAAGCTTTACACCTTTCACATAGGATAGGTAGTTTTGTTTTGCATATCAGGATATGTATGTACATGTAATGTACATGTAACATCCGAGCCATGCAGACTTGAATGGATATGAATCTAAATGTCGTGTCGACTATCAGAATCCCTTGTGCCTCAGCTGTTCACTCACTCACATATCAACCACCGCTTCGGGGGAGGGGGGGTGGAAGAAAGAATGAAAAAAAGAAAGAAAGAAAGAAAGAAACAAAGAAAAAAAAAAAAGATATTTAAACAGACACATAAAGAAAATCACTCAAGTGCTATTTGATATTAATCATTTCGAATTCATCTTCTTTCTATACGATTGAATTTGGCCCCACCGCTGAACTATACTTATCCCTGTCTATCATTTCTACTTTCTCCCTTCCGAGTGAAATATGGTCTTCGATCCGACCCTGCCTAAAACCTATGGGAACTTTTTGAGAATTAAGACACGCGATTTGTCAGCCCAGGAACTCCGTCCTTATTCTTTATGACTTAAAGAGAGCGTGGAAGAGGACATTGCGAGGTTCGAAAATGTGGAAGACATTCTAACTGAAAAATGAAATCTACTGATCGACTATACGAGTTTTATCGATAAAAAGGGGTTAAAAATAACCGAAGGGGAATTTGAAGTGGTAAAAGAGCTTAGTGAGTATTTAAAAAATAAAAAAAAATAAAAATAAAAAGGAAAATAAAAAGAAAGGGGGGAGAGTGAGATGAGAAAAGAGGACTTCTTTTTGATAATATTTTGGTAGTTCAACAGCTTCAGATAATCGCCGCTGAAGCCGCTGTCAAGCTGTCGACCTTGACGGGCCTTCAGATGGAGCAGCGAGATACAAACATCACTTCTACAGTCTTGGAATCTTTGCAGACAGATGTAAATCTTCGCGAGTATGTCACTATTTGTACTCTTCTTCTTCTCCCGCTTCTTCTTCGGATAATTTATTCACCTTAAAAAAAAAAGGAAAAAAGAAAAAAGAAAGGAAAGAAAAAAAGAAAGAAAAAGAAAGAAAAAAAACAAAAGAAAAGAAAAAATCCCAGGTCACTGGTCTTTTGCAATGATGAAATAAGAATAATTGATTGCTAACTATTCAATAAGGAAACTGTGTGGACAATATCAGGAAAATCGAACAGGTCTTAGAGAGGAATTTATGGAATATAAGAAGGATTGTAGAGAAGAGCTGAAACAGAGAGAACGTGAACAAGAGGAATTTGCACTGAACGATGACACCAGATCAACAAAACAACTCAAGCCATGAACTGCTCTTCTACATCTTGATTGAACGTGGTTAGAAATTTAACCCAGGTCATGGCTAGAACCTAGAACTCTATCTATATCAATCTCATCTAAAATACACATACAATCATAGACTGTTTTCTTCACACAGTATAATACTGACTATACTTAAAAAAAGTAGAAGTGTTCTTCAGTTGATCATACTAGAGAGTAACTGTTCTATAATTCTTATCTTTAATATAGCTGTGTGTGTTGAATATTGTGTGTTTAAAGACATTGAGAGAAGATATGTATGTATTTCAGATGTGACAACATGATGTTGACATGACTAGCCATTCAGTTTTGAACTGAGTTTGTAAGCTTTCTGTAGCTTTCACTCACACTGAATGAAAAAATAAAGAAAAGTTTGAGAGCAGGTAGTTAACACAGAAAGAAATACAGCACTGTAGTAAAGAGTATACCCGTTCAAGAGAGAGAAATATAATATATGTTACCAGAATACATCCGAGCCACATAAAATAAGTAATGACCCGGGTGAGAATGATGAGGAAGGCTGAATTGAATATAAATACAATCATCGGAGCTCTGTTTTTCTTCCTCCTTCAATTTCAATATGAATATGGACGCTAGAGACAGGTTACAGACACATCATGACGTCTTTTTTGAAATCGAGCAGGCGGACAGGGAGAGTTGGCGGCAGAGAGATTATCATTATTGAGGCGCTTTGATTTATGACTTCTTAAGGGAAGGCATTGCTCAATTTAACCTGGCCGTCGACAGTGACGTATCGGATTTGCAACGGTATTACGCTTTCTTGTCTGGTCCCTGTGCCAGGCATTCCATCTTCAGCGAGGAAGTGCTGGAGAATCTCAAGAAGAATTTGAATGAATTGGAAGAGGTGCTAGCGTTGAAGAGGATATCGGAGAAGTCAGACAAGAAATCAAAGGAGTTAATGAAGAAAGTGAAGAAGTTAAGAAAGAAAGTAGGGAAGATAAGTGAGAGAGAGATGAGGTTAAAGAAGATAGTGAAGAAGTTAAACAAGAAATGAAATGAGAAGAGGTAAGTTCATCAAGTTAGCATTTCTTCTTTTATTATTATTATATTCTTTGTCTACTTTTTCATTATCTCTAGAAAATTAACTAATCTTGAATTGGCAAGAATTTAGACAGCTTTCATACAACTTTGAGAGAATTCTCAGATTTCAAACAGAACAACAATATCTATAACAATCACTTAACAATCACAATTACAATGATGACAACATAACAGTCAAATTCATGTGAGATTATTAGAGTAAGACTTAGAATGCTGTAAGAAATCTCACTTCTCACAGATTCTTTACCTCTATTTCTATCTCTCATATAATCAATAGAGCTAGTGGCTCTTGACTACACACAACTATATAGACTGAAGTTCATGAATACTATTCATAACTTAGCTTGAATACTATTATATATTTAACTTCTATATTTTATCTTTCTACTGTGAACACTTCTAGTAGTTAACAGTACATATTATATCAAGCTGCAAACACCTGAATAATTATCTATAAGTACTTATTCTTATATTTCAAGCTCAGTCAGTCAGCAATCATCTATTATAACTGAAAGAACTAGAAACTTATATACTTCAATCTCTGTAAACTCTACTGCAGACACTCAGAAGCAGTCATCTGAATCATGAATAACTCTTATAAAAGAAGTCTTAGAGAACTTATTAATTACTTATAAGATATTATTCTTTATATCTGTGACAGAGAAACTCTCTGAACTCATGAATAAATCAATCTCAGTGAAGAATATTCTTAAATATCTCTTACAGAATTAAGCTATTTTTCTATAAGAAATACTTACTATCTATAAACACTCTCAAACTGAGTCTCTAGACATGATCTTCAGAGATACTTATAAACTGAAAAGAAACTTTCTTAAGCTGTAATCACTTAAGATTATCTATTAAATTATAATCTATAAAAGCTTTTATAAGTTTATATTTGAAATTGACTTACAAGCTCAGCTGTGTGATATGAAAGATGAAAAAGCTATTATCTATATAATAACAGATCTCTATTACACTGAAGTTAAGAACTGACTGAATTATCTAGAGAATAATTACAAGAGATTCTGCTGATCTATTCTCAAGATCTATCTAGAGAATAAGTTGAGAGACTCTGTAAGTCAGATAGAGAATATCTGAGCTGTAATTATCAATATTAAAAAAAGAGATGAAAAATCTGATAAAGACTACTCACAGTACTTTATGAAATTATAATATAAATTAAGATCTATGAAAACAGAGCTCTGAAACAAGATCTGAATGATGATATTTATAAAGAGACTGAATAAAAATATGTAAAATAAGCTCATTGAGTAAGACTCTAAGCTCTTGACTCTGAAGAAACTAATAACTCTCATTTATTACTTACAGATCACTGTAAGAGTCACAGATCTATAGAGAGCAGATTATTAACTGACTCTGTAAGAGTCAGAATAACAGAGAACAGATTTATCAGAAAAAGATAATAAGATATAGAGAGATTTATATCTGACTACTAAGCAGAGAGAAAGAGGCTAGAGCTTTATAAGCTCTTATAAATAAAGTATATAACAGAGAGACTAAGAAAAAGAAACTCTGCTTTATCTGTTCTAAATCAGAATATCTTCACACAAACTATTCAGATAAATTAAAATAGAAATTTAAGAAGTTATAAACAGAGTCAGTAACAGTTTTCTTAAGAATCTTGAAGCTGATACCTGAATCTGTTACTTTCTCAATGAAAATGCTTACTTATAGAGAGAGACTGTATCACAGTACTACTATCTTATAAGTATGAAAAGTATTAATAAACTCAGGATTTCAGGTCACTATGATGTTTCTAAAACTCATAGAGTGAATAAGCTGAAAGATGAAAACTGAGAATCTGCTCTTATAATAAGCAGAGTGTGAGAACTCAGATCTGAGAACTGAGAAACTTATAAGAGTTATCTTTGAATTATAAGATCTCTCTGAAATCTGAAGAAGATTTATGAAAACTGTGATTATTATAAATATCACAGATAACATGTACTTGAGACTTGTATAACTTTAAAGATATAATCTGCACATAGCTGTCTGTGAGTCAGGTTTATACTTTTAATCAGTATTAACAGACTTACTCACAGAGATAGAATCAGTTAATACTGCAGAGTTAATCAGAGAAGATAAGCTCATCTATATAATAACTTTATAAGTGTCTGAGAATCTCACAGTCATAAAAACTAAGCTTTAAATATCAGAGAAATATCAAGATCTTATAGAGATATTCAGCTCAGTAAAGACAGCTAAGCTTCTCTCTTACTATAAGAAGAATCTGATAATAGATTTGATAGAAGAGTAGAAACTCTTCTGAGAATCAATTTATAAGCTCTTTCATTATAAGACAGAGATCTTGTAAATCTATATAAAGAAGAATCTGAAAAATAACTTTATCTGATCTTCATAGATCTCTGCAGAAGTCTCTGTAATATTTATAAAGAAGAAGAATAAAGATCTCAGATTGTATATAAACTATTATAATCTAAACTTCAAGATAATAAAGAGTCACTACTTTCTGTCTCTGATTGAGAATATAATTAATCATCTCACAGAAGCT